TATGTATAACCTCCCATGCTGTATACATTAATGTCCTCTCACATTTGCTTGAACAACTCTGGTCATAGCTTTAATTCCTCAGGCTAGAGAGCAACTCCCACCACCCCGGTTGACGCATATGGGTACCCTTTCTTCTGAGGAGGCCAGAGCCCACAGCGGCAACCACTACAGGGTCCAGTCCACTATTCACCCTCTGGTCAGTGCAGTGACTCCCACATCTGACACCCCAACCCTTCCCCCTCTGTCCAAGTGACAAAGATGAATAACGTCTGTGATTGATAAGGTTGGAGACCACCCGGGGAGAGCTAGGAAGAAAGATCTGGTGATCAATAGACTTCAGGACAATGAGCCGGTGCCAACCCTGAGAACGGAAACACCTGGACAAAAACACAGGCGCGGCCCGCACTGCATGGGAATCAGCTCCACGACACTGGTACCTGGCACATGCCCTGCTCTGAGACAGGAACCCATGCTGGCTAGGCAGTCAGGGTGGCGCTGTCCATGGCACAGGGTCGCCTGACTTGCTCTGCCAGCCCCGAGCTCTCCCCGCTCTCCTCACATGTGGCCAGCGGTCTGACGGCTCTGCCTGGACAGTCTCCCGAGTCACCACGTTCCACAACCACCACGCAAGCCAAGCCCCGGTGTTCATGGCCCAGGCAGAAACCACAGCTCACACATGGTATCTATAGAGAAAACTCTCAGAGGTCCTCGGCGGGTTTGAAAAATCAGCTTGCATTTCAGATGAGCCAGCCAGTGGTCCCTGAAGAGGTCTCGGGCTCTGCCGGGACAGAAAGCTACCCAGGGACCTTTAAGTGGCCTGACGGGCACCACTGCTCAGTGCATGTGCACGAACTGACCTCTGACCTCTGCGTGCAGCCTGCCTGCAGTGGAGGCAGATCACTCAAATGACCCTCAGACATGCTGCTCTCTCAGACGGGAAAAGGCAGTCCGCTCAAATCCCCAGAGGTGGAATCAGGAGGCAGGCCTGGTGACAAGGCCTGGCTTTAGTAGGCTATTTGGGAGGGGCTGGATAGTCTACCTTCAGGGCTAGCCCACCCTCCAGAAGGGCAGCATCCATGAGCTCAGCAGGGGTCTCTCTGGTTCCTGACCCATCCCTTGAGGTCAGGGCCACGCCCTTTCATCTGAGGGTCTGGTGTGTTCTCCTCTCTGAACTCCTGGCAATGTTTCCCGCCCAGTATGTGGAATACCGGGTGTGAGGTGCCCCATGCCCACAGGCAACCCAGAGCTCAGGGCCACAACTACAATGTCCATCCCAAGCAGCAGCGAATGGCGGAGAAGCCAGGTCTGGCCACCCTGGGCTCAGATGACTGCTGGGAGGCCTGAGGGCCCTGCTCCTGATCAGCCCAGCCACCGGCTCTGAATTAGGTGGCTTCCAGCTAGGTGGGGCTTGAGGTGGCCAGTCCACAGAAGCCTACAGCAATCACTGCCCCTCTCCTCCCTGGATCAGCCACTGCAACCCAATGGTCTTTGCCCAAGGGTCTGAAGAAGCTGGCAGGGGGGTGGGGCATCTCTCATCAGGACCAATGGGGCTGAGGACACCCCTCAGAACACAAGCCACTCTTCCAAGCCAGTCAATCAATGCACAGATGCCCGCCAGTCAGAAGCTGCAGGGAGGGTGGGAGGAGGAGGATAAGAGTAAAGACAATGTTGCAGGGTGGAAAACAGAGCCCCACAGGGGGTCTGGGCCTGAGCTCTTGGCCTGGTCAGAACCTGGGAAGGCAGGGCTAGGTGAGGGCAAGTTTGTTTCTCTCCCCCTGAACTACCCCAGGAGCTTCTCCAAGCGGGCAAGAAAGGGGAGGAACCGTAAGCCTGGGCCGATGGGCTGAGGAAGCACTCAGCCGGACCAGCTCCACCTGGAAAGCTGAGCGGCCAAGGTCGGCTGCCAACAAGGGCTCAAGTGTGGCCAGTAGCGTCCAACGGGGCCTGGGTGAGGCCTTTTCACCGAGGACATAGGGAGGACCCGCAGGCCAGGCCCAGCTCTTCCCCTCCGTGACCAGAAGGTAACCTGATTTAATTCTCAGGGGCACACGGCACGCCCCGCCACCGCTCACCCTGAGGCAGCAGTGTGGGCCCATTAGGCCGAGGAAAGCTGGGGAACAAATGCTGGTCCAGGGTCAACACAGGGGTGCTGGCCAGCCAGGGCAGCATGGTAGGAGAACCCTACCCGCCGGACCCCAAGAAGGAAGTCCCCACGGGAAGAATGGACAAGATGCATTCCCTGGTCTTTGGGAAGAACAGCGCTACCTGCTCTCTGGAGACTGCCCCTTCTTTACTCGCATCCCATGGGTCCCTCCCACCCTGCTCACCTCCAAGTTTCAGCTCCACACTAACGAGATGTGGCACTAACCTAGGGCGCCAGAACTTGCGAAGGTCCCCAGGAGGACCCCGAGAGAGACAAGGTCTATACGAGCCCTCTGGGCAGCCTAGGCACGGCTGGGCTGTTCTTCGCTTCTCCAGTCACAAGACTACCATCAGCACAAGAGCCTCCTTAAAGATCAGAGAAGCTCAATCAGCA